TCACAGTCCTGCAGCTTATGTAATCATTTACATCTGAGCAAAGCAGGGGGAGTCCGTAACTACCAACGCGCTGAAGAAACCCAACCACTTGAGAGCTCGTTCTAGTCCCAGGTACCAGCCTGGGGGAATCAAGTCATCTTTGTGGGGACAAGAGTAAACACTGCACAAACTTTTTTATTTTAAAAGATGCTTCAACTGTACAACTGCCGCTGTGAAAATCAACAGCGATGGCATATGGAGCTGATTGCTGTCTGACCTCTGGTAGTCTTGAGCTTAGCAGGTGTCTGTGCTGTGAGCATGATCTTGAGAAACACGTTGCTATTCTTTGCAGTTGCTACTGCTCAGTCTCTGCCTAGTCCTCTTGTAAGTGCTTTGGAGGCAGGGATCGGGAGAGAACTACCTCTCATTTTCATGGGTCCCAAGCACTTTGCTATGTTCACAGAGCAAATGGCAAAGAAGGATGGGAACGTGGGATGACAGAGTTTTAGGGTTTCATCTTCCCACCACGCTGGCTGTTAAGACTATCTAGCTATGCACGGGGAAGTGAACTGAGCCCACAAAGAGGGGTAGCAGTAGGCTGGTTAGGCCTCTTCAAATCTGGAAGGAGATGGGCCTTGTTAGCGCTCCCTGTGTGGGTGGGTCAAGTCCCCAGCAGTCTTCACATGACTTGTAGCCGTGCAGTTTGACGGACCCTTGTGTGATTAACCGTTGTCAAGAGCACTTCAGAAAATGCAGGTTGGCGTTTCAAGTAGGAACATCAGATTAAGGGGAAGACAGGTAATGAGGTGCAAGAAGAAAATCCTTCCCTGGGGAACAAATCAAACCTGATATCATCATAAAGGGTAATGAGAAATGCACTGCTGAACTCAGGAAATTCAGGGCAGCTGCCTAGAAGAAGTGAAACTTTGTATTCCTATTTAAAATAGCAGAGAGGGGATGCTAATGTTTTGGTCTGCTGGTTAAGTCAGGGGACGCGCAGATTGCACACCTGCCTTTTGCATATGGTTTTGCCACACATTTCCTGAGTCTTTGGGCAAGTCATTTCACTCTCTGTGCCATAAGGTATGTCTGTGTGCAAGTCAGTGCAAATGAGCTGTGCCTATACACCCACATGGCGGGTTCTGAAGCTATGACTATATCTATACTGCTAAATAAAACAGGGCCAAGGGGCACAGACTAGTCCTGTCCACTACATAGAACTTGTCCTGTCTCTCCTTTTTTGGTCCGTGTAATGGGACCAAATGGACTCTGTGGCCCTAAGACAATACCGGTTTTTTGTGCTTTTTTTCCCCCAGTGCATAGTATCTTAAATAACATGAGACCTTTTGGCAGGGGTGTTTTAATAGTGTGAAACTGAAGATTTGTGTTGCATGTTCTGGCATGTGTCAGGAAAACCTGCATCTGTATCTGAGAAGTAAAGCCTGTTCTGAGGGTGTAGGAGGACTGTGCAGGGGGAAGGGAGCCAGACCAGGACACTTCTATTTTTGCTGCTCCTGGGAATCCTGTCGCCTGGAATATGCCTGGGTTTCGTTTGGACGGTGCAAGCTAAGCAGTCCCAGAATCACGTCAGGAGTGTGCTGACAATTAAGCAGCGTGAGCCATCTGTGATCCTGTAAATGAGTTTGCTTTCTGGCCCTGCTTTATTTAGCAGTATAAAAGAAACCTGTGTGGCCATGTCAGCATGGCTGTAAGCCCGCGTTGATAAGTCAGGGTATATTATTTCAGACACAGTTATACACAGTTGAAGGAACCGTAGCCGCAAGAGCTCACGTCACAGACACAGCAAAGTATGAGGTGATGGTCATCATAATTGCCAACCTTACTGGGATACCATATAGCTTAATTGAAGTTTATAAGAAGCATTGCAACTCCCTGCTTGGAAGCCCTGGGCAGGTGCAGTATATGATTGCCTGAGATAGTGTTTTTCTACCTGTAACAATTTGCAGATCGCCTAAAAGTTTTCCAGGAGAAGCATGGATTCCCTATAGCAAAAGACCTCTTGACAGTGGGTTCTTGATTTTCTTTCTTGGGTCCCTAGTGTGTAGTCACAGGACCCTCAGGGATCCAAGAGTCTCCAGTTAACAACTCTGGATATGTGGTGGGCAGCAGACATGACAAGGAGAGGGATAGAAGTGGGGGCAGCTCATGAGACCGCTCTTACACTGTTAGCAGTAAAAACTGATGTGTTGTTTGATGCCCACACCTGCCCTGTCTCCTCAGGGATGAGGATGCCGTTTCACACTGCAGGGTGTGAGAAAGGAGCAAGCCTGCCGTGCGTCCTGAGGGGCAAATAGTGGCCTGCAGCGCTGGAAGTGCCTGGGACTGCGATGGTCATGTGCCTAGAAGGACAAGATGTTATTACCCTCGCTCACCATCCTGTTGATGTATGCTCAGCGCTGATAGTAATCTTAGCTGTCTACAGTCTTGGTCTCATCTGTGTCACCTCTCATCCTGTGACAGCTCTTCCCCCGCCCCACCGCAGGCACCACAAGAGGTTTTGTTGCTCCCCAAGTTATGAAGAGAGGAAGCGTTTTCTCCATGGGGCACTCTGCTGTTCATTCTAGTTCCCAGGGTAGGATTTGGGGCTAATGCTGCTTGAGCTGCCTTCAGGCTCCTTGCAGGGTAGCTGTGTCATTTTCCTCCTAAAAGTCTGGCTTGGCATTTTACTTTAATCTTATGCTGTGTGAGTTGCATTGATATCAGACCGTGTGTTGTGAGTCAGAGCAAAGGCATTCAGCATCACAGTGCTCCAGTGGAAAAAAATATGAAGGTAACTATTACAGTATTTACAGCATCATTTTTCATATTGAGATTTGCACAAGCTTGTTTGAGTTATTCAGCATAAAAATCCATGACTGTAGAGAGCTGACTCATTAAAACAGACCCTGCTTCTCCAGAGAACCAAGAGGAAAACACTGTTCTTTAATACATCTAAATTCACTTGAATGTGGCTTGTCCTATCAGTTAAATTACATAGAAAATACATTTTGTCCCTGCGCTGTTCCTGCCAATTTCCTCTTTCCTTACTGCTTCCACTAACTTGTCTTCCTCCTGTCTGTAATATAAATGTAAGGAGAAATGGCGCCCTTCTACTCTGCAGATTTGCCCCTCGTGTATATTCTTACCTGCCAACAGCAGTGACTGCAAACGTTTTCTGCTTTTTGCCATGAGAATCACTTGGAGGAAGAAAAGCTGGAAAAGCGTAAGCCAGAATGTGTTTCTTTCTGTGCATCATTATTGTTTGGTACATGCTGGTCCTTGGGTCTCCTGAATACCTGTGCAAAGCCAGTGCAAGGCAACTCACAGAGAGAATAAGTAACGAGCCCAGGAGCGACTGAGGGAGGATTTGACCTGCCGAATCTGTACCACGAACCAGGCTAATGGGGGAGAAGATCATCTGGCTTCAGCTTGTATGTTGAGCCTCATTCCTCAGCTAGATGTAGGAGCATCATACGATATTTGCCAACAGAGTGTTTGATGGTGGTCTCTGTGCAATCCAAAATGGCAGTAGCGGTCACATTTGGATTTGGGAGAAGAAGAAAAATACCTGACACAACCTCGCCCTGGTGAAGGAGCAGAAGCTGATTACGAAAATGCAGTTTCAGTAAGAAGTAGGAAGCAGAGGATGGAGATGCTATGTTTGCTTCCTTTCTAGACTCGTGTTAACTGTGTTTTAGCCTGTGCTGGCTTTCCCCTGCCGTTCCTGCCCTTCTCTCTTTTAAGTGTCTGTCTTCTACAGCAGCAAGTAATGAAAGACTTCCTTTGCATTGTGAAATTGGTACATTCCTGAGTTGAGCAGTCAGCAACCAGGACAACCAAGCTCATTTGTTTAGAGGATGTCCTTGCATGAGGTCTCACACTAAAAGAACAAGCCCTGCATAAGTAATGGAGCCCTGTGCACTGGCTGCCTCTGTGCCTGGCCATCGCTCAGCGTGGCAGCCCCTTTCCTTTGCCTACCTGGCAGCGATGTGAATCAGCTCCCGAAACAAGTGGGCAGCAAACTGTAAATTCTAGCTGCCTGCCTGGCAGGATGCCGCTCCACATCTGTTTGCAAAGTAGGAGCAAAGCAGGAAAAAATGGCTTGACCTTCCATGTAGAGTGCCTTTTTTAGCTGGCTGTTGGGATCTTTTGTCAGGGTTTTGCAAGCCAGTTGGATCCGTTTTGTCCAGATGACAGGCTGCTTATGCTACTTGTTTCCGTTTTTTCACTGATTCTGAATTCCAATCACGTACAATTTCAGAAAGTCTCAGGGAGCCCATACATCCCTCCAGAGGGAGGCATATTTGGGGAAAGCAAGCAAAACTGCTGCATGTGCTGCTGGAGGAACAGTGCATTGCTGGAGGCTCAGGAGAACAGTCCTTTGAGAGAAGAGGAATATGACATCATGAATAAACAGGCTTTCAAATCTTGATCTTGATATAAAAGGGCAAATGCCCACTCTCAGAGTATATTGTATTCAAGACCCTTTGGTTTTGGGGGCGTTAAGTGAAGGTTCATGACATTTTACGGTTAAGTCAAGAAGACACTCTCTTTCTTGTGTCTCTTCGTTCTTTTTTCCTTTTCTAATTTGGTGTCTGATGTTGAAGTTCGTTTGATTTGCTGATTCTCTCTGCATTTACTCTCTAGTTATAATTTTATGAACTCTGGCTATAATTTCTATGAGTTCAATCTCTGCCTAGATTTATAGTCATTAGTAGTGGGAAGTGCAGGGTTAAAATGATAAAAAAAAAAAATTGTTAGAAAGTAGATTTTTTACTTTCTAGCTTTTCAAGGTCTAATTATTTTGCAGCTGATCTAGTATGCAATTGATAAGATGAAAATGTAAATTTCCAGGTTTAGTATTCAAGGTATTTTTCATCTGATCAAAGAAAAGGAAGCATTTTGCAAAATATGAAGCTTTTTTTTTTTTTTTTTTTGCTGATGTCTGAAGTTATGTGGATGTAGTCAGGCCACTGGGAAATCCACGATGCATCCACTAATGTTTATTTCATTTTCTACAGGGGGTCTTGACCTTATCTTCATGCCAGGCCTTGGGTTTGACAAAAAAGGCAACAGATTGGGAAGAGGGAAAGGATATTACGATACCTATCTTGAAAGGTGTATGAAACATCCCAGTGGAAAGCCTTACACAATTGCCTTGGCTTTTAGAGAACAGATTTGTGAATCAGTGCCTGTGGCAGAAAATGATGTCCAAATAGATGAAATCCTGTATGAAGACTGCTAAAGGTATCTCGATACCACCTGCAGAGTGACCAGCTGAAGACTTCAGATCCAATCACAACTTTTAAAAGTCATATATGATTTTGGGAGCAATGAAATAATTATTTTTGTTTGAACGAAAGACAATAACTGTGGTCATGGTAATTGAGGACTGCACGGATTTGCTTCTGATTGGAGAATATCTGGTGTGAATTCTTGTTCTAGAATAAATAGAAACAAGGGTGTGTGGCTGTCTGTTTATTATGGTAAGGATCATTTCCTCTCATCATACGTCGGAGCACCAAGCTGCTCGCTATTTAGCAGTTTTATTGCTCCAGTTTAGAACTGAGCTATGTCCTAGTGAGATTTCTTGATCCATTCTGGAGTCAGATATTTGTTATGGCAAAAGTTAAGAGTAATGTCTCTACTACTTCAAATTATATACATCCATCAACCAAACAAGAAACCACCAGATAAGCCTTATACTAAGCTAGGCAAAAAATGGTGGTCGGGAGAGAGCCTTAACTAATTTTAGTGTATACAATAATTTTGATTATGTACTTGACTTCTTAAAGTTGTCTAATAATAAAAGGAGTATCTCTTAATAACAGCAACCGTGGCTTTGGTACACATTTGTTTACTGTATCTGAATTTAGGAATGTCTTGTGATCTGAAATGTGGTCAGTGGATTCTCAGTGTGAAGAACAAGGGTTTCTTTGTAAAAAACAAAACAAAACTCAGAATTATTTTAACCTCTATAATTTGGTACATGAGCCATTCATAATATCCCAGGATAATGTTGGAAATATTGGTATTTTAAAGGATAAAGAGAAGCTAAGAATTACGGAGGACAGTTTTTCTGGATCAAGCAAGGTTTTGGGTGGGAGTTTTTAATTTTACCCCAGGGTAGATTAAAGCAATCGCATACAATTGGTGTGATGATGTCGAGGAGCAGGTTGGAGGAGGATGGACCCGCTTTAGTCCTGGCCACAGCAAACAACTCAGAATGGGGGGGAGATGTGCCGCACTTCTCGATCTCTGACAGGTGGATGGGAATGGCTGCAGGGTCTCTGCAGGGCCTCTTGTGGTACAGATGTGGTGGCCCAAAAGCCTTCACCAGTATTGCAGGGGCTTTTGCTGCAGTTATGTGTCGCTAAATACGCACTGCATGGATGAACTGGAACTGAAGCAAACCAAAGCACGCCTCAGTCTTGGGGTCTGCACCGTGTCTGAAGTATGTGTACCCAGAAAAATGCACTACCATTCAGAGAGATGGTGCTAGGTTTTTAGAGTAAAACTGAATTCTGGCAATTAAAGTCAAACAATAAGCAATAATAAAGGGGGCAAGCTACTCATTGTCTCGCCTTCCTGCACTGTTCATAATCCTCCTTGCCTTCTTCAGCATGACTTAACTTCTTCTATACGTGTTTAATTCCTCTCTCAAGCAGTAAATCAGTGCATTTATTTTAACCAAACTGCTCTGTGTCTTCATTAAAAATTCCATGAGTTCTCAAGGACTAGCTGCAGAGCAGAATGCCCTTAAGACTTCCTAGACAATAACTGTTTTTGTGAACAAGACTGTGCCTACATTATATGTATATTTCACCTCAGAATGCTTGTATTCAATTTTATTTCTGTTTTGCTAATACAGTAACCAATTAAACCCTCTTGCTCGGGGTTAATGTGAGCTCAGCAAACTGAGGACTCTCTGGTTCGTGCTCCCTGGTACTTCCAACTGCTATGGAATGGCAGTATTGGCATGCCAGGGTTCCCACCAGTGTATACAGAAAGGGTGCAACTTGAACAAGACAGCCGGTGGCAGTTTGTAATGTCAGCTATTTAGTAAAATGCTGGTGCTCAGACACGGCCTTCTGTCAGTTTGATATCAAACTACCTCACTCCACTAACCACAAGTTGAATTTTTGCACCTCACATGCTGCAAACTGTGCAGAGTAAGATATGTTCGTGCGTCATACAGGCTTTTGCAACCAGCAGGTGAGATGACAGTATTGGTGCTGGGGCATGGAGCAGATCATTCTCCAGCTTGTTTCAGCTCTGCAGTGCTGCCAGCTGTACTGCCTTACAGCAGAAAGACAGCCTATTATCATTCAAGACTTTGGGGGAACAAATGTGATGAGAATAGGAGCAGTTTTTCACAACGCCTATCCTGTCAGTGTTTTAATCCCTTTTTCATTTCTGAACTTCTACTGGTGTATGGAAAAAAAAAAAAAAGATGGGACTGTCTTTGTGTGTAGGAGACCCATCTCTAGTTCATCTTCTAGGTTTTTTGAGTTCGCCAGTCACATTAGGATCAGGACCATGCTGTATGGTATGGCCTGCCATTGGCAGAATTATGCTGAAGCCTGTATTTTTCATTGTGGCAATTTGGCTCCCAAATCTGATAAATGTCTGAAATGCGTGTATTAAGTCCAGCCCCGTTCAACCAACCACATATTTCCATCCCACCAAAATCAGTGTACAGTGTTAGTGATGTCAAGTGGTGGCTCAAGGCTTAGCCATGGGATCCTGAGAGGTAATTATGTCTTTGGTTAGTGTGACACCTCAGCTTGATTACGTGGATGCTACTCAAGTTCTGCTTTAGGTACAAAATTAAAAGGCCATGTCAGCATAACAGAAGGAAATCAGAGAATAACACCTCTTGCTGTTACAATCAAGCTGAGGGAAAAATCATGATGTTTGGTTTTAAAGGTGGATACTAGGATTTTTTTGGTCTCTTTTATTAGAATACCTTATGTCACATAAATCAAGTGACTGCTGTGGAAACAAATGTTTTATCCAAAGCCTCTGGGCCTCGTGGTTTTGCTTTTCGAGGCATTCGTTATATAAGAGGTCTATTATTATTCTTTTGGCCAGTTAGATATGAGTTTATTCACAAAATTTTACAGCCTTTTTGGATTAGCTTTTGATCTGGCTGACTGAGGTTTGATTTATACAGTAGAATAAGGGTGAGCTTGAGTCATGCATATTTCACTGCAGGTGATAATGGGTGAACAACTGTGTTTAAAAAGGCTAGCATATGATGAAGTGATTTCAGGGCCAGCACTAACAACTGTACAGAAACCAAGTGCTTAGAGAGAGCTGAACACTTGGTCATATGTTTTGCTGTATGGGAGTTTAAAACAAGGAAAGAAGTAAAAATCCGGAATTTGGATGCCAAATATAGGCACCCCTGTCTAGTACAGCCTCAGGCACGTGCCGAGGTTTGTCCTTGTGGGCTAGCTGGATTTGCGGGAGCTAATTGGTAGAGCAGAAGCCAACATGCTTTGAAGGCTGTCAAGGCTTGAGGCAGTGAGTGTCCCCAAACTTTTTATCTCACAGATCACATTTCAATGCCTCGTGGAGCCGTTCTCCCCTGCTCACACTCCTTTTGGCTACAGCTGCAGTGGGAACGAATTAGGAAACTGCTTCATGTACTGAATGAATGGGAACAGGAAGAGCTGCCGCATTGTCTCTTGCTGGCCCCTCTTGGGCCAGGAGATCATCACAGGCTCATTGGCCAGGATTTGGGAGCTGCAGAGCCCTGGCTCTTAGAGATAGCTCTTACCATTTGGCTGATGAGGATAGTAAAACAATATTTATGTATATTATCTTGAGAATCATAGAGCTAAATAAATGTGACAGCTTTCATTTGACATCTGAACCTTGCTGCTGTCGCTCAGGGTTTTTTCTTTTTGCCACAAAACATGAAATCACTGTCAGTTTGATGGTATGTAACAGTGTTTCCGAAGCACAAAGGTTAGGGGGTTGGTAGGTGCGCCAGAATTATTTATATTTGCTATGCATAAAGTGGCACTTGGGGAGCAAGGTAAGCTGCCAGAAGGAGAGGAATCTGGGTTGTCTGGTTGCTCTCTTTCTCAGCTCTGCATTGTCAGGGTAGAATTTATAAAAATTGCTCCAAAACGGTATCATCTTTCCCCAAATTGATGTGCCCTATCTGTTGCAGTGAATGTCGTTATTGCTATTCTTATTGCTATTCTCATGACAAAGCATCTATCAATTTCTGCTTTGTTTATAAACAAATCTACCTACTCTGCATTACAATTGGATAATTTAAGGGAAAAATATCATTACCATAGGAATCAGTTAATTATATTTCAGGATCCCAGCAGAGAATGCTATCTCAGAGTATTCAGTAAGATCTGACCGGTGGAGTTATAATTAAAAAACGTCCCCAGGGAGGAACTTGTAAATTATTTACTGTAAGGGGCTTTTCCAGGCTCTTTTGGGTAATTACACACTCTGAAAGAGAAAGGCCTCAGAAACAAATTAACTAAGAGGTTGAAATGGCTTTGTTAAAATCATGTTCGTGGCTAAGCAAGTGGAAGACTGTGAGAAAGGTACCAATATAGGGCAAATCTTTGGAAGCCGGCATCACTCATGTTTTAAAAGTCACTTGGAAAGCACCAAAATGTACATGCATACAAACACGAGTGCTGATTTTGACCGGTATTCCCAGTGGCCTCAGAAGAGTCCATATGTCCTTCACAGGCTCCGGTCTGATAGCGCCTCCTGTCCTCATGGCCATTTGCTTTGTTGCGGGGCATGAAGTGATTTTTCGGGGCCTTTAATAGGGTGCAGGTGATGTGGGCTGAACGATCAGGGATGATGCTAAGTAAGAAGATGCTTGGGTTATATTTGGCTCCATTATTATAAATGCTTAACTTCATGTTACGACAGCAGCTGCCCGCAAAGCTGAGGCTTGGTAGTAGATGTGAATAGCCCATTGCTCTCACACCTACTGTCTGTGGCATTTCAGTTCAAAACAGCATGGTTAACCCTGTGTGGCAGCTGGTCTGAATGCGGGCTGTGGTGCCAAGAAGACAGGCACGCTTACTTAATGGCACTCTCCTTTTCAAATGCATGGGTGAAACCTGACTTGTTTGCCCTCCCTTGTCAAACGTGCTTTAAGTGTTTGCTCCTGAAGTTCCTCTGGAGTTGACCTTTGCTGAAAGATGGAGTGATCTCTGGTCAGATGTGGAGAGTGGAAGTCAAGAGGCCAGAGCGCTCCTCTCATCTCAACCATTGACTCATTGTTTGGCAGAGAAGGAGGCATTATCTAATATCTGTTTGCTAAGGAACGAGACAGCCAGTAATACTGCCTGCCTGTTGATGCCAAATTTTATGTATGTAATAGCCCTTCGGAGCTGCCTTTACCCTTGCATTTATTTCTTTCTGAAAAAAGAGGTAAATGCTGCTGTGGCACCCTTAGCAAACAACCGACTGG